CCACGCCTGCCACGTGATTTGCGCGTTGTCGCCACTTGACGCAGCCCTGGCATTGTGATTTGCAAAAAACACGCCACACCACGCGTCCAAAGTGCTGCGCCTGCCACGCAAAATGAGCATGGAGGTCTCCAAGGTGCTGCGCCTGCCATGAAAAGTGCAACCCATCGTCTGCAAACCTTGCCAAAGCATTGCGCCTGTCACGCAGAACGACTTTCGACACATTTATCAGGCAAGTGAGAATGTCACGAAGTGCCACGACTAACGACATTAGAACCTGTTTCGAAATAACCTTGGGAAATTAAAGGTTTTGCAGCTTCCCCAATTGGCAAGGCGACGCCGCAACAAAACCAGAAAATCGAAACGAGACACGTCGGAGCCTCAAAAAGAGCATTTCATGACCACTTCCTGAAAACTTCGCGCTTTGTAGCTGCAAAACTGACGTTTTCCTACTAAGTCTTCCCCATGAACCCCAAACTCTACGATCTCAAAACCGATGTTTCGTGCGAGGTTTCCGTCAATTTTTATCACATCCCACAAGATGCAGCGCCTGCCAAGGAATTTGCACATTGTCACGATTTGACATGGCCCTGATAATGCGATTCGCAAAAGCACGTAACACGACACGTCTGAAGTTCTGCGCCTGCCACACAAAGTGACGATGGAGGTCTCCAAAGTGCTGCGCCTGCCACGAAAAATGGAAGTCATCTTGCGAAAACGATGCGAAGGTATGAAACATGTTGGAATACCACAAAGTGCCATACCTGCCACACGAAATAGGGCTATGTAACGTTTGACACCTCCAAAAGTGGGTCACTTTTGCAGCACTCCCGAGAGGCACGGCCACAGCGACCTCACGCGAACTGTTGCGAACGGTCACCGTGTAGCGAACACACCCTCAACCCCCAACCCCCAGAGTGAAACGGGAACCCTTGCTACGCATTCGGGAAAAATGTGACTGCACGCAACTATGAGACACTGGTCCAACTTCATACTCAGGGAAACTTGATGCACGGAGTTGCTATCTGATCAACCATATTCAATAATCACATGCATCCAGCATCATCCAGCGGCAGAGCTAGACAAACAGAAAACCAACGAACATCATATTCTTACCATTGTAGAAAACCAAAAAACATGCGACAAGAAAGGAGTTGATTCTGTATGATTCTGTCATTGCACCCTGATGAACCTTTCCCGAGAGTTTAGCAACTTTAGCATTTCATGCCTTTTCGTGCCTGCAGCCGGAACTGAAGGGTGGGGATGCTTTGGGCCTTCAGTGCCATTGAGGCTAGCTTCAAGAAGTTACGAAGCATAGCAATGGCAATAACTATCAGGAAATCATTTGAAATTATCCCCCCAAGTGCAACGCAGTCCAAGTGTCTCTGTCACAAAAGTGGCAGAACTTGCAAGCATCTCCATGACGGCATCCTGTGTCTTGGAGCTGGTGGAAGCGGCAAGGCTTGCACACACCATTCTTGTGTGCTTCAAGAGTATTGAACTCTCCCATCCTCACCAAATCACCTGAGTTACTGCGAAAGCAAAGCCTCAAATGGCTCGGGATTCTACCCCAGGGCAACGTCACAAAGCAGAGCGGGTCTTTTTATATTTTGGGTTGGCTTCCTGCATCTTCCTGCTCAAATTATTGTGGGGTTCTGCTGTGCCTGCGGGCGAAGTGGGTTGAAGCGACGCAGCACCTGATAGGCCTGGCGGCAATTAGATCGGTTGTAAGAGTAAGAAGGAAATAGAAATCGAAGGAAGACCGGAAGATACTGGAAGACCTTTGCAAATTTGCAAACAAATTTGCAAACAATATCAAGCAATTCCATTTGTAAGCATTCGGAAGATATGGGTTGGAGCTGACAAGAGTAGAATGGAGACACATAGAAAAGTAATGAACCTCTTGGAGACATTTAGAAACAAACAATGCTGAACCCCCACTGCGTCAAGCTGACCTTGAGCTGACTCAGAAGAGCTGCCACCATGACGCCCGGGGATACACGCAAACTTGAAGTCTGAGGATGCATCCTTTGAGTCTGATGCGTCTTGCCTTTCCAGGGTGTCCGTAGTGCTCGCCTGCTGGTTGGTGGAGACTGAGGGAGCTGAGAGCTGTTCCGACGTTTCAGCCTTCAGTGGCTTGAATCGTGCCAATCGGGCATCGAAGCGCTGCGTGGACACCCCTTAAAGGTAAGTGGCCAAACCTTGGGTGCTCATGAATGCTGATGGTCTTGAAATGTCTTGAAGAGTCAAGCAGCCAGTTGAAACTTTGAAGTTCAAGAACAGAAGATTGTAGTTGCCAAAGGCAGGGTCTGGAGGTCTGGACCCCCATCGGGCGCTGGCATTATCCTTCCACAATCTCAACTCTTTAGTGGCTGCCAGGCTCGCAATAACAATGCAGGGGTAAAGTGCAATGACTTTGATGGTCTCTCTCTCTCTCTCCCTCTCCCCTCTCCCTTCCCTCTCCCTGCCCCTCCCGCTCTCTCTCCCTCTCTCTCTCTCTCACTCTCTCTCTCTCTCTCTCTATCTCTCTAGAAGTCAAGCTTCCCACAATATGGAAAGGCAGAGGTGGAAAGAGTCAGAGAAGAGAAGAGAAGAGAAGAGCAGAGCAGAGCAGAGAAGAGAAGAGAAGAGAAGAAGAAAGAAGATCAGCGAAGAGAAAGAGTCAGAGGAAAGAAGATGCAGGTGCGCGAAAAGGTAGAAAAGTCGCGTAAGTCACTATGTTTTTCCAATGATTTGTGGCTCCGGAGGGTCGAGTAGTAAGCTCGCTATCGCGGCGGGTGCGGAGCCATCTGGGGAGATGAGAGATAAAGAATTGCACGCCGTTTTTGCGTGAAGCACATGTCCAAGTCAAACGGTACAAAACACTTCAACGTCGAACCACTTTTGGAAGTTGAGATGTGGTTTTGCGTGGCCGTCGCAAGGGATTGTGCACCTTGTCAAAAGTGAGCAAAACGTGCGAGAACTGGTCATCAGAGATGTTAGGAGGTCAGGGCGCTGATTTCCTGAGACGGGTTATATTTTGAAACATCAGATTCATCAGATCTTCAGTTTCGGGAAGATGATTTTGTTTGACAGGTGCATCACTTTGTATGACCTGGCATCACTTTCTCGTGGCTAGGGCAATGCTTCAGAGACATGGGCTGGAAAAAATGCTATTATTGAAGGAAGTCTCGTAGAATCGCTTCGTTTTTGATGTTGCCAACTTCAAAACTTGAGAAGTCTCGCAGACTTGCTTCCTTTTTGACGTAATCAAGTTCAAAAGTTGAGGAAGTCTCGCAGAATTGCTTCGTTTTCAAGCTTGCAGATTGCAGATAGACAGGTAGATAGATAGACAAGTACCACTACAACTACAAATGCAAGCAAACTACGCCACATTACGCTACACTAATTACACTACAGCTACAACAACTACTACCACAGCAACAGCAACAATATCAACTACACCACATTACGCTACACTGCACTAATTTAATTACATTAATTCATTACACTGCAGCACGCTACAACTACAAATACACATGCAACTACAACTACACTACATTACACAACACTACACTACACTAATTACATTACAGTACGCTACAGCTCCAGCTACCACCGCGGCTGCAACTACAATTGTAAAAACCATTGCGTTGCACTACGCGACACTACCCTAATTACACTACACCAGGCTACAACTACAACTACACTACCTTACGCTACACCACACTACGCTACACCACACTAGACTGCACTACACTATACCGCACTACAGTACACAACACTACAGCACACTACAATACACTACATTATTTACACCACACCACAACAACAACTACAACTGCAACTGCACTACACTTATTACACATTACAACTACAACTCCACTACGCCACACTACAGCTACAACTGCAACTGCAACTACAACTACAACTGCACTACACCACACTACATCCAGCAGTTGTGGGTGAGGTGACCACTGCAACCATTGCAACCACTCCAAAAACACAACTTCAACCACCTTTCGGTCCATCAGTGGATTCGCTCTGCCATCCGTGATTCACAACAACCAACCTCTCCTATAGGTTTCCTATTTTTGAAACTTCCGCCACCGCCTTGTGCGGTACTACTGGTAATCACTATCATGCTTGTATCTGTACTCACACTGCACAACTTTGTGAAACTTGTTCAACTTGCGTCAGTCCGTTCAAGTGTGGCGCCCTTCAAAATACCGAAAGATGGGGTGTCTTTAATTCAATTACGACTAATTGCGTGTAAGAGCTACTAGACCCTGGATCTGCAGCTCTGGCGTTGCCTTGCCCATCAAGGTGCTGCGTCTGCATGACCATGCCCTTGATGGGAGAAGGCACGCTAGTTCCTTCCCTTGACCTTGTGGATCTCTCAGAAGAAGTGCTGCTCTCTCGTGCAATACGGATCGCTGGGAGAGCTATGAGGGAAGCATCCAAGGGAGACTCAACGAAGATCAAATGTGGCTCACCTGCCATGAGCTTACGCGCCCGGCACTCGGACCCTTTGAGCCAAATCGACTTCAAGGCACGCTGTAGCCGCCGGCCTCTGATTGCATAGATGACATCTACCAAATCTACCAATACCAGTTTCACAAACACAAGCGCACATACGGTCACATATACACAAACATGCATATGAATGCGACCGACCAGGCAGCGCAAATATTACTGAGAAATTGAAAATTCACGCTGCAGCACTGAGCACTTTGCAATGCTGAGTCGTTAAGTAAACAAATATCAATAAATCATACTGTACGATACTATAAGAAATCCCTCGGCTTTCACGGTAACCTTCTGTACTATGATAGTTTCGACATATTCTTGATAAATTTTGATAACTTTCTGTCGCTCTTTAGCTGGATTCTGATCACATGGCGACCTGGCAAACATAGCCGCACCATTTTGAGCACGCTTAAACTGTGAGACAGTATGCGACAGGGCAATGCCTCCCACAGATTATCATGCAAAAAAAGGAAACTTTTATCAGCCAAGTGCCCTCACAGCTTGGACTTCGCGCTCGAGAACTCAGGTAAAACATAGCTCTGCTCTATCCTTGGAGCACTACGATCCACAGTAGCCAAAACTAGAAGAATCACACACCAAATGCAATACGGGAGCAGTGGCCAGACTCGCGATGTAATTGATCAGTTCCCGTCGTTTTTGACATTTTTTTCCATGACTGATGATTCTTGATCTGCTTTACTTGTGCAATGCGCAGGCTGCGTCAGAAACTGACGCTTCTGAGGATTTTGAGGCTTTAGAGGAACTGCTGCGCTGAAGGAAGTGTTGACCTGTGATTGGATCCATTTGCAATGATAAGGAAACGTCAGAGACTGCAAGTAGAGATTTCCAATTCCCCCCACAATGCTGTCTTTGCATCTGAGCAGTCAAGTCACAGTTTGGCACGGATAAGTTTTTTGTCAATTTTGCCTGTGCTCGTCAATGGTATTGCATCCCACACCTGGCATTCGCGCTGCGAATCCGAATCAATTTGGTCATGTGGCAGCTGGCCGTGAAGTGATTGTCACTTACGCCTGTAAAAAGTTGCGAAACATTTTTTTACCACACAACCACACAGCCAGTTATTTTGCCCTGGGATAATTATATAGTTCTGCGGGTAGCACCTACGAGTGCACTGCCTCCTACCAAATGCATGCCATGCCAAAGCATTTGTGCTTGTGCCATAAATCTCTCTCTCTCTCTCTGTATCATTTTTGTCCGAAGCGCAATGACATCATCTGGCAGCTGGAACTTGGCAAAATTTGAAGACAGATGCTGCCGTACCTTCATTTGCGCCGCTATGCTGTAGCCGAAACAAATTATCTGTTGAGTAATGCTTGCAACTGGGGAACGAAAACAAAGCAAAGTAACCATCCATGTCTCTGCCGAACAAAAAATGTGAATGTAAGGGAGGACTCTTACTCTTCTCTTGTAGTGTACTAGTAGTAAAGGTAGTCGCAGCAGGATCGAGTTTGGTATGGCTGGCCAAAATATGTGCACAAAACTAGTTTCTGTGACCCATGCCACCGATCTGTCTTGAAGAGACGGAAAGAAACCCAGCAACTTGGAAACGGTTTGGGGATATGCCCACCTTCCAATGAGAACCCGTGTGGGGATGAAACGATACTTCGATGCCATTTTATTGCGGAACTGCGTGTGCCTATGCCTAAAGGTGAAACATGATCAAACAAATTACACCGGCAAACAGCCGCAGACGGTATCGGGGGGTTCCAATTACAAGCAACAGTAGCTATAGGCTATAGAACGGTAACAAATCAGGTTAGATATTATTGGAACTGAGGCAGCATCAACTTGTTTTGGTGCAAGAAACTGCGCTATGTCTGCTACTCATCAGGGCTTCATACCAGAACCTCATACCCAAACATCGAAGAGAATTTCCAAAGATCGTAAAAGAAGGACCTCTCCAGTCCACGATCTTCAAACAAGAATCCCAGAAGAGCTTTCATACAAGCACCAATGCAAAGCATCTTCAAAATCTTAAGGGCGTGGACCATGCAGCCAACACAATGCGACCTGCAACCACCGATTACAAAAGACCCTAGAACTACGCACACACACGACGAACCACGCATTGCAAAGGATCGCGCCCGCAGCGCACACGAGGTACCTTTCATCGCCCCGGCCGAAACCACTTCATATACGGAAAAACACAAAAGGTTTCTTGCTCCGGCTTCCTCCCCAAACAAAGCCCGTGCAACATTGATACAGCCTTTACAATGCGTGTTGCAGAAACAAGTATACATCCATGCAGCCATTACAATGCGATCTGCAATCACAGATTCCAAAGCACCCTACAACTACGCACACACGACGAACCAAGCATTGCAAAACACCATCAGGGAACCAATCGCACACCAAAGCGAACAGACCGCACCCGCCGTGCACACGAGGTACCTTTCATCGTGGGCCGAAACCACTTCATACGGAAAAAACAAGGTTTCGTGCTCCGGCTTCCTCCCCCAAAAAAGCAATGCAATATGAATGCAGCCATTACAGTGCGTTTTGCAGCACTACGCACACATTTATGCAGCCATGACTTTGTCGCCGCACCACATCCCAAAGTCATCATTTCCCTAGGCCAACACTTCCCAAAGTCACCGCATTCCCTTCGTCACCACTTCCCTTCGTCTCCACTTCCCTTCGTCACCAAGTTCCCCTAGTCAACACTTGCAAAAGTCACCAGGTTCCCTTCGTCATCACTTCCTTGTCACCACTTCCCTAGGTCATCACTTCCACAAGTCCCCACACCAGCCTGCGTGGATGTATCGTTTTGTGATGTAAGGTATCACAATTCTAACTAAGTCCCCACACCACCCTTCGTGAATGTATTGTTTTGTGATGTAAGGTATCACAATTCTATTATTTGTCCGTAACTCGGAAGATTGCTTCCCAACTTCCTTTGACCATAGATAAATAGATAGATAGATAGATAGATAGATTAGGATTATATAGGTTGGGGCACATGTGCTGAAAAGGACGTGACGGTTGACTGCGAGAAGGGGGATGGGTCGATCTTTCCATCTTTCAGCTGGAAACGAGGGTGATGCCGATGAGCGGCGGCGGTGAAGCAAAAGCAGGCATTTCCAGAGAGCGTGCAGAAGGGCACGAATTTGATTTTGGCAAAGGCGACCACTTGCGGCCACTTGCGGCCACTTGCTCTGGCGGCCACTGGCGGCCACTGGCAGCCACTCGATTGGCTGCAAGTGGCTGCAAGTGGCTGCCGATGAGAAGAAAATGCTGGTGGCCACTGGCGGCCACTCGATTGGCCGCAAGTGGGTGCAAGTGGCTGCCGATGAGAAGAGAAGTGGCTGCAAGTGGCTGCCAGGCGTGGGTGAAACTATATTTTTCACCATTCATCCTCTCTTGGGCGGAGAACATTGGGAATTTTCCGTTGCCTGCGCACGGAAAATTTATAACATTCTCCGTGGGCGGAGTCTTGGCAATGTGAAGTACTGTACTGTCCTCATTTCTATGTTGAGGGAGTTTCTTTTGATAAGGCACGGCCAATATGAAACGTTCTAGGTCATGTGGCTTCTCGAAGCTCCCTTTTTTTCGTTGCAGCGTTGTCCTCCTCTTTTAATAAGTCCTTCCTCTTAATTGCTTCTCCTTCCTTTTCGTTTAAACTCGTGCGTTTTCGTTGTGGGTCTCTCCCTGTCGTTCCAAGACTCTTTTTTTCGTTGCAGCGTTGTCCGCTTCTTTGACTAAGTCTTTCCTCTTAATTGCTTCTCCTTCCTTTTCGTTTAAACTCGTGCGTTTTCGTTGTGGGTCTTTCCCTGTCGTTGCAAGACTCTTTTTTTTCGTTGCAGCGTTGTCCTCCTCTTTTGACAAGTCTTTCCTCTTAATTGCCTCTCCTTCCTTTTCGTTGGAACTCGTGCGTTTTCGTTGTGGGTCTTTCCCTGTCGTTCCAAGTCTCCTATTTTTTTCGTTGCAGCGTTGTCCCCCTCTTTTAATAAGTCATTCCTCTTAATTGCTTCTCCTTCCTTTTCGTTGGAACTCGTGCGTTTTCGTTGTGGGTCTTTCCCTGTCGTTCCAAGTCTCTTTATTTTTCGTTGCAGCGTTGTCCTCCTCTTTCAATAAGTCTTAATTTCCTCATAATTGCTTCTCCTTCCTTTTCGTTTAAACTCGTGCGTTTTCGTTGTGGGTCTTTCCCTGTCGTTCCAAGTGTGGGTTAGCCGCGGAAAATGTGGAAAAGTTTCCGTGGGTTAGCCGCGGAAAATGTGGAAAAGTTTCCGTGGGAGGATGTCAGGCGGCCACTTGCGGCCACTTGCGGCCACTCGAGTGGCTGCCGCTGAGAAGAGAATGCTGGCGGCCACTTGCGGCCACTCGAGTGGCTGCAAGTGGCTGCCATTTCCAAAATCAATTTACGCGCCTCCTGCGTGCTCAATGGGCATTTCCGTAGATGAGTTACAGTTACAGTATGATCAAATGATGTTATGCGTCTTCGCAAACGTTGGTGTTGCACACTTCTTCGTGGGTGCTGATACAGGCGGGTGTCCGCACAAAGGAGATGTGACCCCAACACAACAATAAATTTGTCTATATATACATCCTGATGGCACACGCATGCCACACAAAATGGACATACCTTGTAGCTCCAAAAACCGAGCATGGCGCGCTAGTAAAACGAGACCTTCGAAAAGGAGCAAAACGGGACGCTCACATTGTGCGAGCCTGCGCAGTTGAAATGCACACGGACATCTCACAAGGGAACTTTTATGCGAGAATTTACTGTAAAAAAGCCGGGGGCCAGAGAGCGTACCCTGATCCAACCCCGGCCATGAACACCTACCGTAAGAACCCGTCAGTGTGGACACACTGTTTGGGGAATAAAAAGATTATATATATATATCTTATAATCTTATACATGAAACTAGATCATAAATGCGTTCAATCTTTATCAATAGCGCCCGGCCGTGCCGGGGTGGAAGTTTCAGAAAAAAGAGCAACTGTCAAAAACCACGCGCTGAAGGAATATGATGTGAGGTTCACCTAAGAGTTAAATGATTGATTGCAAGATTGACTGGCTGATTGAACACTCACATGCTTTAGTGGAAGAATGTTGGCTTAAACGGATGAATGCATGAACGAAGAACGAACGAACGAACGAACGAATACGTGAATGGATGAATGGATGAATTAATGAACGAACAAAGAAAGGACTGAAAGAAAGAATGCAAGAATGAACGAAGGAGCAATTAAAAAGAAAAACAGCAAATCAATGAGGCAAGACAAGTGAGATGGGTGAGATGACTGAAATGCTTCATGGATTAATGAATGAGATCAGATGAGATGAGCCAAGTCTTCTTTAAGCTTTGAACCACCTCTTCACTCAGCCACCGCTTTGCTCAGCCACCTCTTCGCTGAGCCTCTTCTCTCCGATACCTATTCTCTCAGCTACCAGGCCAGAATGCGTACCACCTCCAGTCCCAATCCCGCACAGAGAGTCGCGCAAAATTGACCACCCTTGCGTGCAGCTCGTCGCGTGCGCTTTTAGGCCCACAACTGCGGTAACACAGACTCTTGGCGATCCCCGGGGTCCACCAAGTCCACCATACCTGTAAAAACAATGATTTGATATGATTTGATATGATTTGTGCTTTTTCATCCTTCCACCACTGTGCAAGCTCCCTAACTCTTACTGTGATCTAATGTTTTCGCTGACTGCTGTGTCAACTTCCCAACTACAGAAATTACTCTTGCATACTCTTGCGACCTCTGTGGTTGACATAATGTGAAAACTGACCATAGGCATGCGTCCGTAACTTGGAGATGTTTCACTAAACTTCCTTTGAATATATAACGCATATAATGTGCCATATGCTGGCTTTGCTCTAGACTTTTCCAACGCTTGAGACCTCCTTGCCTTCTTCAGGAGATCCTGCGAGCTTTGAGCTTTCGCCATCGTGACAACCTTGGCCGCAGAATGGCAGAACTGTCCAAGCAAACTGCTGTTGTCAAAGCACACACACACACTGCTTAGGTTGATTTGATGATGATGAGAGTAGAACTTGCCGTCGCCTGATTTCCTAAGTCACCTTCGATGGGGCACGGTTGCAAACGGTGAAATTCGGTCAATCGATTCTTGCCAAAGGACTCAAAAACAAGGTAATAGAACAGCTTGTGCAAAAGTTCGAACCAACATTGCAGGTACGTCAACCTAGCGTCCCAGGTTGATATCACTGTGACATCAGAAGCGTCTTCGTTGGCTGGAGACTTCTGATTCACACTCCAGCCCCCTGCATTTCTGAATTAAAGGTTGTGGTCTGAAGAACTCAGTCCCTGTTGTCGTAGCATACAGTTATATCAAAATTCCGTATGTGATAACGGGTTTCACACACACAAGCCCCGTAGGGCGATGATAGACAATACGAGTAGTTAAATTGTCAGACTCACCCTCGGAGAGTTGTTTAGTAAAAAGGTGAGTGCCCAAACTGCGGCCAACTGTTCAACACCAGAGCGACCGACGGGTGAAAAGCTGAATAGGCCTACTGTTCCACTTTACTTAGGCGTGTGCAAAAAGGTGAGTGCCCAAACTGCGGCCAACTGTTCAACACCAGAGCGACCGACAGATGAAAAGCTGAAAAGGCCTACTGTTCCACAATACTGAAAGGTGTGCAAAAAGGTGACTGCGGCCAACTGTTCAACACCAGAGCGACCGACGGGTGAAAAGCTGAATAGGCCTACTGTTCCACTTTACTTAGACGTGTGCAAAAAGGTGAGTGCCCAAACTGCGGCCAACTGTTCAACACCAGAGCGACCGACGACCAGTTGTGGTTCTGAGTAAGGATCGGACTTGGGTAAGACAACGGGTGAGACCCCCCGAAGGGTTAATCCATCCCTATAGGGATTAATCCTGGTCCTCCGAAGGGACTAATCCGTCCATCGGTGGGACTAATCCGTTGAAGTATGACAAATTGTCATAATTCGCTCCTAAAGTGGAGTAATCCTGTGGTTGACATAACAACCACTTCGAATCCAGACTGTCCCAACTGGACATTCCACTATCCACCGGAGCGGCCGGTGACCAGATCTAGACCCGCACGAAGCAGATCGACGGTGCTCACAAGTCAGTGAGTTCACCCAAACACACTGCTTAGGTTGATTTGATGATGATGAGAGTAGAACTTGCCGTCGCCTGATTTCCTAAGTCACCTTCGATGGGGCACGGTTGCAAACGGTGAAATTCGGTCAATCGATTCTTGCCAAAGGACTCAAAAACAAGGTAATAGAACAGCTTGTGCAAAAGTTCGAACCAACATTGCAGGTACGTCAACCTAGCGTCCCAGGTTGATATCACTGTGACATCAGAAGCGTCTTCGTTGGCTGGAGACTTCTGATTCACACTCCAGCCCCCTGCATTTCTGAATTAAAGGTTGTGGTCTGAAGAACTCAGTCCCTGTTGTCGTAGCATACAGTTATATCAAAATTCCGTATGTGATAACGGGTTTCACACACACACGCACACGCACATTTTCAAGTAAGCACACTCAAATTCAATAAGGGGTGCATGTGCGTACGTTCTTTCATGCATCTTAAGTATGATTGTGACAAAGTAAACACACTTGCTCAAACACACTTGCTCAAAAATATCATAAAATATCTCCCAACGACAAGCCACTGCGATAGGGCGTTCATCCCACCGAGGATGAGGCACACCCACCACTGCAGCGGTATCAATTTCGGTCATGGCTGCAATCCTTTGCTGACCGTTGCTGCAAAACGACAGTGTTCCACATAACTTACTTGTCTTATCTTGTCTTGACCTCTCAGCCACTCGCTTTCTGGTAATTATATAATCTGCCCAGAGCGTCTGGTTCTCCATATCAATGGAAGAGATCCACTCGCCGCCAGATTTCACCACCTTAGATTGAAAACGCAAGAGGCTTAGCCCCCAACATGGAAAAATGGTGAACAGCTCCCAAAGAAACTCAACGAGCAAACAACCAAACATCTGCCGATCCATGTTGCTTTTCTTTGTTCCAGTCTTGAAGCACTCAAAGAACCAGCTAATGTTGCAATGCCACCTACAAAATGGACACGGTGTCCTTCCAATTCCCACCAGCAGTGTCTCAAATTCAAATGTCACGACTAAACAGTGACCAAACTGTCCCTATCTTTGGTCTTTTAATGTCTTTCATGCCATGCTGATGAGAGCCGTGATTGAAACAAATGCAGCTGGGAGGACGTCCTTGGAGCGATCGCTGATTACAACTGCACCCTCCTCATCAATCTTTGCCACGTCGCCAGTGACCAACCAACCATCAAAAAACTTGTCAGGTGCATCCACTTGGAAATACTCCTGGCACACGGCCTCGCCCGCCATGGAAATACATATATACATATGGAATATGGAAATATATGGAAATATTATATGTTCATCTTCGTCATTGTTTATTCGAGTGTTCGAGCATCATGTCGGGGTAAGAGTGCAAACTGATCAAACGCAGTCAAACGCACGTTTGCAAGTGAGCTGGCTGCATCATCAGGGCTCAACATGGTACTGGTAGCACAAAACTATCCAAACATCCTTTTACTTCTGTTGCCCAGGTAGATTCAAGCACCCCATGGATTGCTCTCAGTCCGCTGTACATTTTTTTGTCCAGCGTCATGCGTCCATGCCCCCCCATGCCATGCTGTAATGAAAGCCATTTCTTGGTGTGATTTGGGCATCCGCCATACCCTATAGTCTCACAAGAGACTAGGCATCCCGCTCCAGAAACCCTTGATAAAAACCAAACTGAGGGTTTTTATGTATTTTTCTCAAACAGACTCAAAAAGCTTAACTTGGCCTTAATTTTGGCAGCGGTCTCCGAAAAGAGTTCTCGGTTGCAAGGACGCTGCAAGGACGTGCAAGGTGATGTGTTTTTGGCAAAAAAACAAGACAATCCGCGAACCCGAATGCCCCCCCCCCCCCCCCCCCCCCCCCCCTCCCCCCCCCCCCGGACCCCCTTCGGCACCGTTCCCCAGCGGCCCTGCCATAGAGTCCTCGCGCGAACGTGGGCCGAAACACCGGGTGAACACACCCCCGGCCCCCAGACCCCCACAGTTAAACGGGAACCCTTCGCTCCGCATTCGGGAAAAAGGAACAGCATTTTGAGGCCTAATTGCTTCAAAACTTTCCCAAAAAGCACCATCAAAACGCGCCATCCCGATTCAGGGTGAAATATTTGCAAATTCACGGAACATCTCAATCTCCAAAAAAAACAACTCGAGGTCAAATTACTCTAATGCAACTGTATATATACATCATTAGGGTAAATTTTGTTCATTTTTTTTAGTATGTTTTCATGACCTTGACAATGCACGCACACGCTGCAAAGGATATGGAAAAACTGCTTGGAGTCTACGAAGGTGTAATAATGAAATAATGAAGCCTTATGATCTCTAGATGGTTTAGAGGGAGGAGCGGGGGCCCAGCGGGGGGGATAAAGCTTCTGTGATAATCAAGGCAGCACAGAACCGAACACATGTCAAAATGATTCAAATTGCCTTTGTCAGTCATCAGGAGAGATGGACTCATCCTAAAGGAAGGACAGCCAATGCAATCCTCAGCTAATGTCACACTCTATTTCCTCATATTTCGATTCATATTTCCCCAAACTCTTCATCTTTCCGTGTCCTGGATCACCCAAGGGCCACGCACTAAAAGCTCTCCAGTTTGACCACGTGGCAGCTCTTGCGACAAGTCTCCCGCATCTGCCTCAGGCGTTTGAAAATGCTGCTGGGGTTACAAACTCTGCTGGGAGAAAAGATTTGGACAACAAAAAGATACAAAAAGAACACAAGTCTGCATTCAAGTGAATCCTATGGATATAGTACGAGATCCTGCTTGGCCCTACGGTACTGATATTGCTCTGTCACCTCATCCTTGGTTGGTAAAATTGGGGGCAACTGTTCCTTCGCCATGTCAAGAGTGCCAGTGGCAGCGGCAAGAGCAAAGAATAGGATCCTCATGGCTCCTCCCTTCTTGCGCGCAACGGCCCGGAATTAGGTAAAAGCGGTCCCACCACGAGGCACACTTAAGGACCCGCGCTGACAAAAGCTCAAGTGCTCGCCAAGCGTTTTGTTTTCATAATCATCTGTACAGCCCGCAAGGACAACTGTTCCCATAATTTTGAGTCAACTAAAATCAAGCCATTGCTGACAGGCTGCAATGCGCACTTGAATGCAAGGATTCGGCAAACCTGCCTTAGTGACCTCAGCTGTCGGACATCCTTTGCCTTCCTCAACTTGAGAACCAGAAAAGTAAAAACATGTAAAACTCATGCTTCCATATGCTTGCAGATTTTCCATATGCTTCCTGCGGTCGGCAAGCAGCTCTGACAATCTCCGTAGCTTTCGAAGAGTTTGGCCCTTGTCCGGATGTCTGTATCAAACACTCCTACTGTATTTGGTACAAAATTAAATTACCCTAGCCTGGCCCTTGCCATAGCCATAGCAGGCATCTGCAAAACTCAGAGTGTCTCTTTTCTTCTTTGATCTGAGTGCGGCTCATTCTTAAACTTCTCCTCTTCAGTCTTACTGAGGTCCGCATATTTGGCCACCTGATTCTGCATTCGCATCGTTGGCCAGGCGGCTAGTGAATGGAATCAAGGGCAAACAATGGCCTTAAATATCCGCCGACCCCTGCCGACAGCAGGGGGAGCGCGTCAGAGAAGAGATTACAAGCAACAAGTGTTGTGCAGTGCAAGGGAGGGGCAAGCGAGGGGGGGACAGAAAGGGAAGCCAGGTGCAGAGTAAGAAGCCCAAAAAAGGAAGCGAGAAAGGAGGGGCAGTCTCAGCGAACGTAGCAAGCGAAAGAAGCACGAAACAAGAAGTTAGAAGCAAGAATGCAGAAGCAAGAGTAAACGAGAAGCTGGCAGCTGCAGGCTTCAAAGGCTAGTTTTCTAGCAGGCTCAGAAAGCGACGTTAGGCACTGGCACCGGGGCCTCGGAAGCGCCGTTGGGACCGGCATGCCATGGCGTTTTCCCGTTTCGGAAGCGGCCGCGAAAGCTGGCAGCTGCAAGCTTCAAAGGCTAGTTTTCGAGTCGGTTCAGAAAGTGACGTTAGGCACTGGCACCGGGGCCTCGGAAGCGCCGTTGGGACCGGCGTGCCATGGTGTTTTCCAGCGGCCGCCACAGCTGGCAGCTGCAGGCTTCAAAGGCTAGTTTTCTAGTAGGTTCAGAAAGTGACGTTAGGCACTGGCACCGGGGCCTCGGAAGCGCAGTTGGGACCGGCATGCCATGGTGTTTTCCTGTTTCGGAAGCGGCCGCCAAAGCTGGCAGCTGCAGGCTTCAAAGGCTAGTTTTCTAGCAGGCTCAGAAAGTGACGTTAGGCACTGGCACCGGGGCCTCGGAAGCGCAGTTGGGACCGGCATGCCATGGTGTTTTCCTGTTTCGGAAGCGGCCGCCAAAGCTGGCAGCTGCAGGCTTCAAAGGCTAGTTTTCTAGTCGGTTCAGAAAGAAGCCACAAGAAGAACAAGAAAACGAAGAAGACGAAGAAAAAGAAGATCCGTCCTTCACTTCTAGTCGGTTCAGAAAGTGACGTTTGGCTCTCTGGGCTAGCTCGGAGCTAGTTTCTACTCGGTTCAGAAAGTGACGTTAGGCACTGGCACCGGGGCCTCGGAAGCGCCGTTGGGACCGGCATGCCATGGTGTTTTCCTGTTTCGGAAGCGGCCGCCAAAGCTGGCAGCTGCAGGCTTCAAAGGCTAGTTTTCTAGTCGGTTCAGAAAGTGACGTTAGGCACTGGCACCGGGGCCTCGGAAGCGCCGTTGGGAGCGGCATGCCATGGTGTTTTCCTGTTTCGGAAGCGGCCGCCAAAGCAGTCAGCTGCAGGCTCAGAAAGCGACGTTAGGCAGTGGCACCGGGGCTTCGGAAGCGCCGTTGGGACCGGCATGCCATGGTGTTTTCCCGTTTCGGAAGCGGCCGCCAAAGCTGGCAGCTGCAGGCTTCAAAGGCTAGTTTTCTAGTCGGCTCAGAAAGCGACGTTAGGCACTGGCACCGGGGCCTCGGAAGGGGCCGTGGCCCGCAGGCCCGGTCCGTCCCTCAGCGCCTTGCTGTTTGGCTGTGGCGCAGGCGCCGTTTTGGGTCAGACAGCTATAGTTTTCTTGTAAGTTCAGAAAGTGACGTTAGGCACTGGGGGCCGTGGCCCGCAGGCCCGGTCCGTCCCTCAGGGCCCTGCTGTTTTGGTGTGGCGAAGGTGCCGTTTGTGAGGCTTGGCGGCTGGAAGACAGCTAGTTTTCTTGTAGGTTCAGAAAGCAACGTTAGGCACTGGGGGCCGTGGCAAGAAGTCATTACAAGCAGCAAGGGCAAGAAGCAAGAAGCAAGAAACAAGAAACAAGAAGCAAGAAGCAAGAAACAAGAAGCCAGGAAGCAACAAGAAGAACAAGAAAACGAAGAAGACGAAGAAGAAGAAGATCCGTCCTTCACTTCTAGTCGGTTCAGAAAGTGACGTTTGGCTCTCTGGCTAGCTAGTTTCTAGTCGGTTCAGAAAGTGACGTTAGGCACTGGCACCGGGGCCTCGGAAGCGCCGTTGGGACCGGCATGCCATGGTGTTTTCCTGTTTCGGAAGCGGCCGCCAAAGCTGGCAGCTGCAGGCTTCAAAGGCTAGTTTTCTAGTCGGTTCAGAAAGTGACGTTAGGCACTGGCACCGGGGCCTCGGAAGCGCCGTTGGGACCGGCATGCCATGGTGTTTTCCTGTTCAGAAAGTGACGTTTGGCTCTCTGGGCTAGCTTGGAGCTAGTTTCTAGTCGGTTCAGAAAGTGACGTTAGGCACTGGCACCGGGGCCTCGGAAGCGCCGTTGGGACCGGCATGCCATGGTGTTTTCCTGTTTCGGAAGCGGCCGCCAAAGCTGGCAGCTGCAGGCTTCAAAGGCTAGTTTTCTAGTCGGTTCAGAAAGTGACGTTAGGCACTGGCACTGGGGCCTCGGAAGCGCCGTTGGGACCGGCATGCCATGGTGTTTTCCTGTTTCGGAAGCGGCCGCCAAAGCTGGCAGCTGCAGGCTTCAAAGGCTAGTTTTCTAGTCGGTTCAGAAAGTGACGCTAAGTTAGGCACTGGCACCGGGGCCTCGGAAGCGCAGTTGGGACCGGCATGCCATGGTGTTTTCCTGTTTCGGAAGCGGCCGCCAAAGCTGGCAGCTGCAGGCTTCAAAGGCTAATTTTCTAGTCGGTTCAGAAAGTGACGTTAGGCACTGGCACCGGGGCCTCGGAAGCGCCGTTGGGACCGGCATGCCATGGTGTTTTCCTGTTTCGGAAGCGGCCGCCAAAGCTGGCAGCTGCAGGCTTCAAAGGCTAGTTTTCTAGTCGGTTCAGAAAGTGACGTTAGGCACTGGCACCGGGGCCTCGGAAGCGCCGTTGGGACCGGCATGCCATGGTATTTTCCTGTTTCGGAAGCGGCCGCCAAAGCTGGCAGCTGCAGGCTTCAAAGGCTAGTTTTCTAGCGGGCTCAAAAAGGGACGTTGGGCACTGGCACCGGGGCCTCGGAAGGGGCCGTGGCCCGCAGGCCCGGTCCGTCCCTCAGCGCCTTGCTGTTTGGCTGTGGCGAAGGTGCCGTTTGTGAGGCTTGGCGGCTGGAAGACAGCTAGTTTTCTTGTAGGTTCAGAAAGCAACGTTAGGCACTGGGGGCCGTGGCAAGAAGTCATTACAAGCAGCAAGGGCAAGAAGCAAGAAACAAGAAACAAGAAGCAAGAAGCAAGAAACAAGAAGCCAGGAAGCAACAAGAAGAACAAGAAAACGAAGAAGACGAAGAAGAAGAAGAAGATCCGTCCTTCACTTCTAGTCGGTTCAGAAAGTGACGTTTGGCTCTCTGGGCTAGCTTGGAGCTAGTTTCTAGTCGGTTCAGAAAGTGACGTTAGGCACTGGCACCGGGGCCTCGGAAGCGCCGTTGGGACCGCATGCCATGGTGTTTTCCTGTTTCGGAAGCGGCCGCCAAAGCTGGCAGCTGCAGGCTTCAAAGGCTAGTTTTCTAGTCGGTTCAGAAAGTGACGTTAGGCACTGGCACCGGGGCCTCGGAAGCGCCGTTGGGACCGGCATGCCCTGGTGTTTTCCTGTTTCGGAAGCGGCCGCCAAAGCTGGCAGCTGCAGGCTTCAAAGGCTAGTTTTCTAGCAGGTTCGGAAAGCGACGTTAGGCACTGGCACCGGGACCTCGGAAGCGCCGTTGGGACCGGCATGCCATGGCGTTTTCCCGTTTCGGAAGCGGCCGCGAAAGCTGGCAGCTGCAGGCTTCAAAGGCTAGTTTTCTAGCGGGCTCAGAAAGCGACGTTAGGCACTGGCACCGGGGCCTCGGAAGCGCAGTTGGGACCGGCATGCCATGGTGTTTTCCTGTTTCGGAAGCGGCCGCCAAAGCTGGCAGCTGCAGGCTTCAAA